GTGAGGGCAGGGACGTAGTGTTGCTGGCGTCGGTGAGGGCAGGTGCGTAGTGTTTGCTGGCGTCGGTGAGGGCAGGGGCGTAGTGTTGCTGGCGTCGGTGAGGGGAGGGGGGTAGTGTTGCTGGCGTCGGTGAGGGCAGGTGCGTAGTGTTGCTGGCGTCGGTGAGGGCAGGGGCGTAGTGTTGTGGCGTCGGTGAGGGCAGGGGCGTAGTGTTGCTGGCGTCGGTGAGGGCAGGGGCGTAGTGTTGCTGGCGTCGGTGAGGGCAGGTGCGTAGTGTTGCTGGCGTCGGTGAGGGCAGGGGCGTAGTGTTGCTGGCGTCGGTGAGGGCAGGGGCGTAGTGTTTTCTGGCGTCGGTGAGGGCAGGTGCGTAGTGTTGCTGGCTCGGTGAGGGCAGGGGCGTAGTGTTTTCTGACGTCGGTGAGGGCAGGGGCCCTAGTGTTGATGGCGTCGGTGAGGGCAGGGGCGTAGTGTTGCTGACGTCGGTGGGGGCAGGGGCGTAGTGTTGGGTGGCGTCGGTGAGGGCAGGGACGTAGTGTTGCTGGCGTCGGTGAGGGCAGGACGTAGTGTTGCTGGCGTCGGTGAGGGCAGGGACGTAGTGTTGCTGGCGTCGGTGAGGGCAGGGGCGTAGTGTTGCGGCGTCGGTGAGGGCAGGGGCCCTAGTGTTGATGGCGTCGGTGAGGGCAGGGGCGTAGTGTTACTGGCGTCGGTGAGGCAGGGGGTAGTGTTGCTGGCCGTGGTGAGGGGCAGGGGCGTAGTGTTGATGGCGTCGGTGAGGGCAGGGACGTAGTGTTTTCTGGCGTCGGTGAGGGCAGGTGCGTAGTGTTGCTGGCGTCGGTGAGGCATGGGCGTAGTGTTGCTGGCGTCGGTGAGGGCAGGGGCGTAGTGTTGCTGGCGTCGGTGAGGGCAGGTGCGTAGTGTTGCTGGGTCGGTGAGGGCAAGGGCGTAGTGTTGCTGGCGTCGGTGAGGGCAGGGGCGTAGTGTTTTATGGCGTCGGTGAGGGCAGGGACGTAGTGTTGCTGGCGTCGGTGAGGGCAGGTGCGTAGTGTTGCTGGCGTCGGTGAGGGCAGGGGCGTAGTGTTGCTGGGGTCGGTGAGGGCAGGGCGTAGTGGTTGCTTGCGTCGGTGAGGGCAGGTGGTAGTGTTTCTGGCGTCGGTGAGGGCAGGGGCGTAGTGTTTGCTGGCGTCCCGTGAGGGCAGGGGCGTAGTGTTTGATGGCGTCGGTGAGGGCAGGGGCGTAGTGTTACTGGCGTCGGTGAGGGCAGGGAGTAGTGTTGCTGGGGTCGGTGAGGGCAGGGGCGTAGTTTTTGCTGGCGTCGGTGAGGGCAGGGGCGTAGTGTTGCTGGCGTCGGTGAGGGCAGGGGCGTAGTGTTGCTGGCGTCGGTGAGGGCAGGGGCGTAGTGTTGCTGGCGTCGGTGAGGGCAGGGGCGTAGTGTTGCTGGCGTCGGTGAGGGCAGGTGCGTAGTGTTGCTGGCGTCGGTGAGGGCAGGGGCGTAGTGTTGCTGGCGTCGGTGAGGGCAGGGGCGTAGTGTTGATGGCGTCGGTGAGGGCAGGGGCGTAGTGTTGCTGGCGTCGGTGAGGGCAGGGACGTAGTGTTGCTGGCGTCGGTGAGGGCAGGGGCGTAGTGTTGCTGGCGTCGGTGAGGGCAGGGGCGTAGTGTTGCTGGCGTCGGTGAGGGAAGGTGCGTAGTGTTGCTGGCGTCGGTGAAGCAGGGGCGTAGTGTTGCTGGCGTCGGTGAGGCAGGGGCGTAGTGTTGCTGGGGTCGGTGAGGGCAGGTGCGTAGTGTTGCTGGCGTCGGTGAGGGCAGGGGCGTAGTGTTGCTGACGTCGGTGAGGGCAGGGGCGTAGTGTTTCTGGCGTCGGTGAGGGCAGGGGCGTAGTGTTGCTGACGTCGGTGAGGGCAGGGGCGTAGTGTTGCTGGCGTCGGTGAGGGCAGGGACGTAGTGTTGCTGGCGTCGGTGAGGGCAGGGACGTAGTGTTGCTGGCGTCGGTGAGGGCAGGGACGTAGTGTTGCTGGCGTCGGTGAGGGCAGGGGCGTAGTGTTGCTGGCGTCGGTGAGGGCAGGGGCGTAGTGTTGATGGCGTCGGTGAGGGCAGGGGCGTAGTGTTACTGGCGTCGGTGAGGGCAGGGGCGTAGTGTTGCTGGCGTCGGTGAGGGCAGGGGCGTAGTGTTGATGGCGTCGGTGAGGGCAGGTGCGTAGTGTTGCTGGCGTCGGTGAGGGCAGGGGCGTAGTGTTGCTGGCGTCGGTGAGGCAGGGCGTAGTGTTGCTGGCGTCGGTGAGGGCAGGTGCGTAGTGTTGCTGGCGTCGGTGAGGGAAGGGCGTAGTGTTGCTGGGTCGGTGAGGGCAGGGGGCGTAGTGTTGATGGCGTCGGTGGGGGGCAGGGACGTAGTGTTGCTGCGTCGGTGAGGGCAGGTGCGTAGTGTTGCTGGCGTCGGGGAGGGCAGGGCGTAGTGTTTCTGGCGTCGGTGAGGGCAGGGCGTAAATGTTGCTTGCGTCGGTGAGGGCAGGTGCGTAGTGTTTTCTGGCGTCGGTGAGGGCAGGGGCGTAGTGTTTGCTGGCGTCAGTGAGGGCAGGGGCGTAGTGTTGATGGCGTCGGTGAGGGCAGGGGCGTAGTGTTGCTGGCGTCGGTGGGGGGCAGGGACGTAGTGTTGCTGGCGTCGGTGAGGGCAGGGCGTAGTGGTTGCTGGCGTCGGGGAGGGCAGGGGCGTAGTGTTGCTGGGGTCGGTGAGGGCAGGGGCGTAGTGTTGCTGGCGTCGGTGAGGGCAGGGGCGTAGTGGGTTTCTGGCGTCGGTGAGGGCAGGGGCGTAGTGTTGCTGGCGTCGGTGAGGGCAGGTGCGTAGTGTTGCTGGCGTCGGTGAGGGCAGGGGCGTAGTGTTGCTGGCGTCGGTGAGGGCAGGGGCGTAGTGTTGCTGGCGTCGGTGAGGGCAGGGGCGTAGTGTTGCTGCGTCGGTGGGGGCAGGTGCGTAGTGTTGCTGGCGTCGGTGAGGGCAGAGGCGTAGTGTTGCTGGCGTCGGTGAGGGCAGGTGCGTAGTGTTGCTGGCGTCGGTGAGGGCAGGGATGCAGTATTGTAATCTGAAGCGCCCTCTGACCGTCTAGGTCAAGGGTCTCCAGACTGCGGCCCGCGGGCCACATGTGACCCACCACAATATTTTTATGCGGTTCACAACAACTTGAAAGATTTATAAACAGTAAAACTAATAAAACCTCAATTTCAGTCACTTAAAGTGAAATATTTTATTGCCTATAAAATTTATACGTCAAAATATGTTTAAATATTAGTTCTAACCTTCTTTTTCATTTCTCAGGTAAAACTTTCATTTATGGCGGGAAAAGGTAAAGAAGAGTGCAGAGTGAGTGTCGCCTCTTTAACGAAGAATGTAGCGTAAAGTACTTCTTTGTATAAGTAAGGCACGTGTGTCTTACTTATTTACGTGTTACCTATGTGTCTTGCTTTCCAACTTGTCGGTTTTGTATAGCATTCTTTGTATAACAAGGTAATAAAGCCTTGTGTGTCGTATACCACGACACTGTTGCAGTCTTGAAGGAGTACAGTGACTGTCGGCACTGAGACCCAACATGAACCAAGTTATTCCCAGTTCACAGGAACACAACGTTCGGAAAAAATGAATCATTGCAAGGCAGGTTGCTTTCCCAACAAGTTTCACTTTTTGTACGCCGAAGACAGCTGAAAATAAAACTTCAACCTGAGTCATTTACAATGTAGCTGAATTATTATTATAATCAAAAAGAAGCGTTAAGCCACAATGACTATACAGTCCAATGTAGCTGAAGAGAAAAGCCATTTACCGATGGGGATCTGATCAAAGGGTTTATAATGGAAGTAGCGGGAGACTTAGCAAAACTGTTGAAAATCCTGTCATGTGCCAAATACTGTTGCTCGTGGAACTGAGGATATAGGAATCAGTATATTTCATCATTGCAGACAAAGCACTTGATGAATCGAATGATGTGAGGGACAATCACAAC